TGTAATTTTTGATGAGATTTGAGTCATTTTGGACATTTTTTATGAGATAAGACGAGCCTTTATTAATCCCACAGTGGGGAAATATAAATGATTAAAGCAGCAAAGAGGAAACATTTAAGAAACACCAGTAGAAAAAATAAAAATAAACCAACAGTACAAGGTCAGATTGTCCAAATTCCTCTGGATGGAAATAACAACATTGCACATATCAACGGTGTTACATGGATTCTTTCAGGACTCATTCTGTATTATTTTGGACCCACTGAGTCATTTTTGACTAATTCTTAAACATTTTGGACCAGTTTTAGTCATTTTGGACAAATTCTGTGTCATTTCTGACGAGGTTTGTGTCATTTTGGGAAAGTTTTACTCGTTTTTAGATTAATTTTTTAGTAGTTTTGGACATTTGTGTCGTACTGGACACCAAACAGTTGAGTCTCAGAAATTAGCAACTGGCTGGAAAACATGGTGAAGAATTTATCAGATTAAGATCTGGATGGTTTTCTTAGGAATCAGTTAAAGGAGAATAAATAAAGGACTTTGGATTCAATAAATTAACACAAGTCAGCCACCAGTAGATGCTAAGGTTCCTCCAGACCTGCAAACCAGCTACTGTTAGTTAGCATCACTGTGCTTAGCGCTGAATAAATACATAAATAAGACTCCGTACTCGGTTTGTTTTTGGTAGAAATGTTAACAAAAGCAGGGAAAAGGTGGTCGTGTTAGACTCTGAGGTTTTGATCGCGCTGCCGTGCAAACAGATTGTTTTACATGAAGAATATTTGTGAGCTTTTAAAGCAAATGGAACCAGTGTGGACGCAGTTAAACGCTGTGTCTCAGTAAGACAGTGCTTCTTACAAAACGTCCAAAACTGTTGGAAATCTAAACGTATGCTGAGTTTATTCTCAGAGATTCTCCAGTTTTATGACACAACTCAGTCTAACCCAACATCAGCTTGAACAGCGCTGGTTTTGTTCCAGGTTTTCCTCTGAAACAGTGACATCGTGTTCAGTCCCACTTTAAATACTCAAGAACAAATTAGCTCGCGCCCTAAATGCCTGATTTTACTGCGATTTGGGTCCGATTTGTTAATGGCGGCGGGATAAACGGCGCTTACAGCTAACTGACATAATGGCAGCTCTTTAAACCGGCTGTTGTGTTCGCCGTGGTTTGGCCTCGTAACGCGGCGGTCGAATAAATCCCCAAATAGCAGCAGCTTAATGCCGCCCTGGACGTAATGACGGCTCCCTGGAGGAGTCCCGTCTACTTCCAGCCGTCCTCAGAGGGAGTCAATGATACCTAATAAGTGCTTATCTATTTCCTAAGACCATAATGAACGTGCTCGTTACTCCATTTCCCCGTCGGCTTCTCGTTCTGACAGAATGTGTGAGTGTGGAAACGTCGATCCTTTAACGCCGAGCGAAGCCCCACAAATGCACTTAAACACACTCTTGTGGCTTCATGCGACTCCCAACACATCTGTGGAAGGTATTAGTTTAATCGATGTACTTTAAAAGGGGTTTCCTCACAACTCAAAGCACCAGTGTGCTGCTCTTCATAGGTCTGGAGATGTTTTTGGTCATTTTGGAACAATCTGTGTGATCTTTGACAGGATTCGTGTCATTTTGGACCCAGATTAAATAATTAGATTTTGCATTATTTTGGACATACTGAATATTTTTAGAGTAATTTTTGACAAGATTTATGTCATTTTGGGAAACTTTTAGTAATTTTGTTTGTCATTTTCTAAAAAAAAGAAATAAAAAATGCATCATTTCGGACACATTANATAAGTAAGTAAGTAAACTGTAAGTAAATACATAAATAACAGGATATAAAGAAGCTTTATTTTTTTAAACAAAGGCCAGAGAAGCAAAAAGAAGCAAAAGATTTACTAAATAAATCCATAAAACAAACCGTCCTGATAGAAGCTGCTGATCAAACTGCAGTCATAGTTAATAAATTAATAAATTAAAGGTCAAATAGAATAAAACTGAAGCTGTTCTGGTTCATAAATCTGGTTTTAAGAAGCTGCTGCATTGAATTGATATATGATAGAATTAATATTTGACTGATGAGGAGAGGACGCTTCATCGCCTCCTTGTTTCGTTCCTCTTCAGTATAAAGTGCTGAGTCAGCAGCACAGAGCTCTGAGCTGCTGTCCGATGAGGTTTTTCTCTGGATGCAGATTAAATGAACGTGTTGCTGAACTCCCACACTGCTGCTGTTTGTCTTTAATCTGCTGATGGACGTCAGCACATTCCTCCGTCTTCACGCCGATCACGTCTAACAAGCTCTGCTGTGCTTCCTTCCAGGTTACTACCCGTTCCTGAAGATCTACCAGTCCATGCAGCTGGTCTACACGTCGGGCATCTAGTGAGTTACCGGCTTTCAGCACAATTAGTGAACTCAGGAGGCAGCAGTGAAGGAAATGATTCTGTTCTCTGCCTGCAGCGACCTTCAGGGCACCGGAGGCCGCCGTCTCTGCGTGACCGTCGAACCGGCGCTGCTGCTGAAGGGTGACATCATGGTGAGTCACACGGGCAGGAAGTGGCCGGCACAACGCCCCATATATGGGCGTAGCCAGAACCCATGACTTAATCATTTATGCCTAATGGCAGCAGGACGCGGCACCTCCAGGGCTGCAGGGCTTCGCTTTAAGCGGCCTCCAGTGTAAATGTTGGGTTTTGCCGCCGTGTTGAATCACAATTTGTCTGTTTTGTGTAGCGGCGGAGGTGTCGCTCATTTTGGGAACACACAAAGCCTCTCATTTGCCGCCCAGGCCTGTCATTATGTCCCTCATGCCCTGTCGCCCTCTCCGACGCCCCCTGCAGGTCAAGTGCTACCACCGGCGGGCCCAGACGGCCGACAGAGACACGGTGTTCCGCCTCCAGTTCCACACCTGCACCATCCACGGATCGCAGCTGTGGTTCGGCAAAGGGGAGCTGGACGAGGCTTGTGTCGGTGAGGCGCTCAGAGGACGGAGCTGGTGGCAGATTGAAGCTGCAGCTACATGTCTGCTCCAGTTTAGCATTTATCTGATTGAGCACCGTCAGTAGAGACTTTATTCTGACACAGATCCTCAACAGATTCTGATATTTCCTCTTTTTAAATATAGAATAAAACTACACCTGCAGTATTGTTGATTAAAAGTTTAGCTGGAATTAAAGTAAAGCAAGTTGCAGCTACTGATGTCTGCATCCTGCTTTGTACAGATTTACTTTTTAAATACTCTGATGTAGACGAATTCGTGAAGTATTGTAGAAATTTTTTTGGTCATTTTGAAACCATTTGTGTAAT